TGGAGGGAGGGGGGAGAGGGAGAAGCCTGGTTACCCACCCTACACATCGCAATGGCTATTGGTGTGGGCACCTTCAGTGGGCGATGCACGAGTACCGTTGATCAGAATGCCCACCCCCCCCCCCCCCGCCACCCCCGCCACCCACACACTGCGTTGGTGGCGAATGGCATGTCACGCCACCCCAGCCACAACCACGAGTCCCACCGGAAGCAGCCCACACCTCACCCGGCGCACTGAGCAGCGGCTGCAGGGCGGGATGCGGTCGTCGCGGAGGTCGTCTGCGGTGAGTGCGTTTGTGGAGCACAGCCGCAAGGGGACCGTCTCGGCTGGCGACGAGTTCACCAACGCCGAGCTGGCGGCGCTGGGCATTGCCGGCAATGGCGGCGATGCTGGCGATGGACGGGGCAAAGGGGACGGTGACGAGGTCGTCTTCCAGCGGCTGGCCGAGGTGGCGACGACAGAGACCGGGATGGTGGCCGACGTGGATGCGGTCATGGTCCAGATGGCCGCGCGGGACGGGTCGTTGGTCGAGGACAACGACGAGATCGCCGAGCTATTCGAGGATGTGCCGGGCTACACCGAGGCCGAGGGCCTGCCGTGGTACCCGATCGGTATCCAGGCCAAGCTCAACGCCAAGTTTATTGCCGCTGCGCGCGAGGACGACCTCGACACGCTCGTCTCGATGCTTGAGGACGGCACCCCGCTGCCCATGGCCATGTTCGATGCCGCCCAGGGTTTAGAGCCCGGCGACGGGTCGGGCGGCGCGTCGCCGGGAGCGTCGCCAGCTTTTGACGTCTCGGCCGCAGAGTCGGAGCTGACCCGCGAGCCACTGGCGGTCGACGCTGACAAGCTCGTCGACACCGAGCTTGCACGCCAGCGGATGATCGAGCAAGGCTTTGACCCGGATGGCGACGGCATGGCCTATCCCGAGCTCAACTCGACGAGCTTTCTTGAGCGGACCGCACTCCATTGGGCCACACTGCAGGGCCACACCCGCATTGTCAAGTACTTGCTCTCGTTTGAGGGCCTCGACGTCAACCAGGTCGACGCCCATGGCTGCACCGCACTGCACCACGCGTGCGCCCAGGGCCACAAAGACGTCGCCGTCGCCCTCCTCATCGACGGCCATGCCCGCCTCGACGTCAGCGACGCCGTCGGCGAGACGCCCGACATGAAGATCGTCATCACCAGCGACTCGGCCGAGGCCGACGAGGAAAACTCGCTGACCAACATCCTCGACCGCGCAAAGTCGCACTCGTACCCGCTCATTGTCCCCGAGTCGACCGTCCCGCGCTTCTCTGCCGCAGCCATGCTCAACTCGTCGGCGCTTCCGTCGTCGAGCGCCAGGCGCTGACGACTAAACGCCATACTTGCGGAGCAGCGCAAGCCTCAGCGCCAGCGGCGGATGCCGCCGGCTCCATGCCAGGGGGTGGACGCCGAACTGCTCACCATAGCTCTCGAGCGCAGCGATGCCAGCTGCGGCATAGCCTGCGCCTGCCGCCCGCGCATCCGCCCGCAACTCGCACAGCTGCGACGCAAGCGTGTCAGCCACAACGACCAAGCCAATTGCCGCCGCCGTCGCTGCCACCCGCGCACTGAGCGGACGCCCGCCGCCGGCCCATGCCGAGACAATGCCCGCCGCCGCCGCCCCGGCGCTGAAGCTGTGCACAGCCGTCAGCACCAGTGGATGGTGCTCGGCAAGGTGCGCCATTTCATGCGCGGTGGCAAAGCTAGGCAGCGCATCGCCCGGGCGGGCGCCGTCGGCAAGTAGCTTGATTTCGGCCAGGGCTACAAACCGGGAGTCGATGTCGAGCAAAGGCACCCTGATCCCGCCTGAGAACGAGACCGGCACAAGCGAGGCGTAAATGGCCACAGCATCCGGCTCTGCCACGCCAAGCTCCGCGCCCACCGCCCGCGCCCGCCGAGCCAGTGATCCCGTCGAGTCGCCTCCGCCGCCGCCCGCCACCAGACTCGCCGCTCCGTCGAGGTACGCCGCCACCTGCGCGCCTGCCGCCACCTCGGCTGCACACACCCCGCCCGCCACTGCCGCACCTACCGCCCACGCCCACCTGCTGGAGCTCATGATTAGCGGCGAGCCGTGGAGGTGGGGTGAGGTGGGGTGGGGCGGGGCGGGGCGGGGTGGGGTGGGGCGTCCGACGGTGCCCGATGCCAGCTGGTATGGAGGACAATCTGGGCGAGGCTGACGAGGCCGCGAGTGAGGGTGTTGCAGTCGGCGGCGATGATGTCGGCCGCGGCGCCGCCGATGTCATTGTGTGGCGCGAGGGCGTGGAAGCCGTGCGGCAGGCCACCGAGTTGGTTGAGGGAGGAGAAGTCGAGGTCCGAGTTGGTTCGGCGCTCGGCTGTCCACGGCGTGGTAGCGGTCGATGCAGCCAGAGGATTGTCCGCCGAACGCCGGGCACGCAAAGCCTGCTTGACTTGGTTGTCCTCTTTCCCTCCCCACCAACATCCGACGTGCACGCCCCCCCCCCCCCTCCGTCTCTCCATGGTACTTCCACTCCTGATCTCGGTACACTAGACGGCACATTGGTAAACTATTTTTCGACAGCCGGCGAACCGTAGTCACGCGCACCGACGTCCCGAGTCGACCCAATGTTCCATGGTCCTGCCCGGAACAGCCTCGCACACGTCACCGCCCCCCCCCCACCACACCGCTCTCTCGACACCGCCAGACTCGTCCGCATGGGATGGTCGCGCGCCCGCTGGGGCATGTTTGCGCTTGCGGCTCTTGCCGCTACCATGCTCGCCACCAACCGCTTGGCGGCCTCGGCTCCGGCCCGTCCTGCCGTCGCCACTGGCGCCACCTCTCGGACGGGCGCAGAAGCTACGCCGTCAGAGGCGCCACACGTGGTGGATGCACGGAGCCAAGGCGGAGTGAGGGCGGTGCAGCTGCTTTCAGGCCCGCTTCATCCGCGTGATCTCCCGCCGCTCCGTGACGCGCTAGCCGCCCGTGGCGCCGGAGCCAACGAGCTGCATCTGTTTGTGGTCCAGCTCGCAGGCCGGGTGGTCGATCCCAAGGACCGCGCCGCGGTCGAGACCGCCGTCTTTGGAGGCCGCTCGCTCGGCAAGTACCTCCCGCCGAACGCCTTTCTTGTCGCCGCAGCGACCAGCGAGGCCCTCGCCGCCGCAGAACACCCGGCCGTCGCCTGGGTCGCCCTCCTCCCACCGCATGCCAAGCACATGCCCGATCTGGTCGAGACCATTGCCGCAGGCGCTGCTCCGGGTGTCAACATCCTGTGCGCCACTCCTGATGCCGGCCGTGAGCTCGCCGCAAAGCTGGACGCCCGCTTTGGCGCGGGCGCCCACCGCGGCACCGGCGGCCCGCTCGCCGTCAAGTCCGTAGGCTCCAAGTCAGCCGTTGTCACCGTCACCTGGACTTCATCGGCACCGTCCAAGGACCAAGCCGCTGTTCTCCTCGACTACCTTGCGTCCGCGCCGCTTGTCGAGTGGATCGAACCCGTCCAGTCTGTTCGCACCTTTGCCTCCCGTCCCGGCCAGACAGGCGCCCGCGCCCGCGCTCGCGACCACTTTCACCCACAGACCTTGTAGCTACCCCCCTTCCATCCCATCGCCATCGCCATGACTAGGCCAGGCCTAGTCAAATCCGTGTTTAACACGATCGAATGAAGTGGAGTGGCCACCATTTCGCTCGCATCCCATCATCCTTCTCTCCTCTCCTCCGCCCGCTCAGAGCCGCTTCTCACCATCTTCAAGTACGTGGTCTGCGCAGAGACGGTTTTGCGCACGGCGGGGGGGGGGGGAGGGGGGCAAGCAGACGTCGACAGCACCGGCGCCGGCGTCGGCGTCGGACGGTGTCGAGCTGGAGGTGTGAAGCCTACAGCCGCAGGACGCCGGCCGAAGTGTTCATGCCGTTAAAGACAAAGGTGTTGTCCATGGGCACAAACTGGCGGGTGACGATCTTGATGATTTCCTGGGCGGCGACGGCGCCTACGACCGTGGCCACCGGGTTGATCTCGGCGTTACCGTAGCGACAAAATTCGTGGACGAGGTCGTCGGCAACGAGTGAGCCGTCGTTGGCAATGCCCCACGTTGCAAGGCACGCGTTGACCTGAGCCTTGAGCTCGGGGATGTCGGCCTCGTAGTCGGCGCCTGGGCCAGCCGGGCCGGTGCCGGGCCAGCGCTGGTGGGCGGTGTAAAAAGCGTCGATGGCGCGGAACATGACGTAGAGTGGCGCAGTGGGCGTGCCGGAAGTGAGGGCGGTGGTGAGGACGTCGACGACGGATGGCGCCGGCTCAAGCTCGTCGGCGATCGACGAGAAGCGGACGACGTGGAGGCTGGCGGCGTTCTTGGCGACGGTCTTGATGAGGTCGGCCGAGACGGCGTCGGGAGCGGCACCGGCGGAGGCCTGTGCGGCGCGGACAAGGCCGGTGAGAGCGTCAAGCTCGGCCCGGGCCTGATCGGCGTACATGCCGGCGAGGGCGAGGTAGCCCTCGGTCGTGGCGGTCATGTCGGGCAGGTTTCCCGGCAGCGGGAGAGCGCCGTCGGCGACGCCTGAGTCGACAAAGTGGCGCAGGCCAGCGACGACAAACCAGAACGGATCCGAGTCGGGCCCGAGCGCATCGGTCTGGGCCTCGGGTGCGTCGAGGACGGCGCGGACCTCGTCAGACGGGGTGGCCGGGACCCAGGCTTTGAGGGCGGCCTTGACGGCCTCGTCGACGTTCTCGTGTGGGCTCGGGTCGCGCTGGAGGGCGCGAACAGCCTTGCGAAACTCGCGCTTGTCGGCTGACGACCTCGGACCAGAGCCATCGTGGCTCGCGCGGAAGGCGTCGAGCGCCTTGAGGAGGAGCAGCGGGTAGGGCACGTGCTTGTACTCGAACGAGTCGAGCGCGTCGAGATCGAGCTCAGCAGCAGCAGCGGCAAGGGCCGGGAACGGGTGTGTGATGCGCAGGTCGAGCTTGGGATGATCTGGGTGGGTCTCGACTACGTAGTGAACGCCCGGCTTGGTGACGCGGACGTAGCCGACGAGGCCGCAGGCGCGGGCGATGACCAGCAGGCCGCCGCGGGCAGCGACAGCGGCGGCGATTGCGGGAGTGGCGGACGGCGCGACGTGGTCCGAGACAATGACAACGTCAAAGTCGTCAAAAAAGTCTGCGGCGAGGGCCGAGGGGTCGGCCTCGACGTAGCCGCCGCGGACATCCGGGTTGAGCTCCTGCAGCGAGGCGCACATGGCAGCCGCCAGCGAGGAGCCGACGGCGTCTGCAGCGAGGAAGAAGTTCGATCCGATGGCAGCGAGGGTGGTGGGCGCCTCGTCGACAATGGTAAAGGCACCTGTGCCCGGGAGAATGAGGTTCTTCAGCACTTCGCCGCCCGTGGTGGTGGCCCCGAGCAGGCAGACCCGGGCCGACTCTAGCGCTGCCTGTCCGTGGGCGCCCCATAGCCGCAGCTGACGGTCATACTTTTGCTGCTTTGCCGACGGTCCGTCCATGGGTGTGAGGGAGGGGGGGGGATGGGGTGGGGTGGAGTGGGGGTTGGATGGGAAGGCGCAGGGTAAGTGTGATAGTGGTAGATGGCAGTGCCTGCAGTGGGCGAGGCGACCTAAGGGAGGCGAGATGGACCACACTCGTTAGCCCGACAACTGTCCCGCGGGGCTTTGTAATGTATTGTTGGCAACGAGTGGGACTGCCCCCTCGCACGGGGAGAAGCGGGGGATG